GGTTAAAGGTCGGGATTTATGTTTAAGAAAATGCTTGAATGCATGACTAACAAAACTTCTTTCAGCACCGGAATCGAAAAGAATGCATGCATAAGAGTTATCGAGGAGGACCGTACCCGTCACAACGGTAGGGTCAGCCACGGCTTCCTCTTAACCCATCGTTAGCACTCTCCCTGTGCCACCTGTTGTTGTTACCTTGGGGCAGTTTCTCTTGAAATGCCCGACTTCCCCACAGCCATAGCAGGCTTTACCGACACCTGCTCCAGAGGCCTGGTCGGTTGGTTGGACTGGTGTCTTGCAGCTTCGAGCCATGTGACCCTTCTTGCCACAGTTGCTGCAGAGCGTTTCACGGCATGGGTCGGGGATGCGGTGATGATAGTTGCATTTGCTGCACCAAGGGAGGGTACCAGTATATCCACTGGCAGGTGCTTGAGTGGCAGGAGCAGCGGCAGGAGTAGTAGCAGCGTGGACTGCTACCGTGTGTTGCTTCTTTGAGGGTTCCTACGAAGATTGGCCCTTTTTCTGTCTCCAGAACTTTCTTTTCTCTCCACTCCCTTTAGCCGGTTCGGGAGTGGCTGTCACTTCATCGAGATCGACTCCATGATCTATGAGGGTCTGCGCTAGACACTTAGCGCTGTCGAAGGTGTTTGGCCTAGCAGCCAGGACATTTCCTTTGGTCGGTTGGGTCAGTCCCCAAATATATCTTTCAATCTTTTTGCTTTCCGGGGTGACCATCCCCGAACAGAGAAGTGCTAGGTCTTCAAACCTAGACGTGTAAGCGGCAATATCGGAACCCTTCATCTTTAGGTTCCAGAGTTCGTGCTCCAGTTTCTGCATTTCGCCCCGTAGGCAGTACTCAGCAAGCATGAGCTCTTTCAAGCTCTCCTAACCCATAGCATTTGCTATTGGCAGGGTTAGGGACTTGACCCGGCCATTCCACCAGGTCAATGCTTTGTTGGCGAAAGTGCAAGCGGCCAATTTCACCTTGTTAGCTTCGGAACAAGAGCAGATTTCGAAGATGGACTCAATTTTCTCGATCCATTGAGTTAGGGCAATAACTCCTCCTTTGCCGTCGAAAGATGTGGGTTTTGCGTTCATGAAGTCTTTATAGGAGCACTCCGTCTGGTGTCCCTGACCACCTTCATGATTTTGGGGATGAGTACCACCTCCCTGACCACCAGATCTGCCAGGATTCATCTGTGACATCGCGGCTGCCACAGCAGCAGTAACAGCTGCTTGGAACATAACGGGATCGAACTGGGGGGCGGTGGTGGTGGAGCGTCGTCATTCCTTCTGATAGGTCTTTTACGGGGAGGCATCTTGTTAGTTTAAATCAGGAAGAAGAGGATGGTAAGTCCTCTGGAATCGAATCAAGAGATATAAAGCAAGATGTATCTCAATATGATGGTTAGAGTGTTCTACTAAGCGATAAGCAAAGAAAGGTTACTATGCAAGTAAGTTATCGCTAAGAAACGAATAGGTAGCAACACTAGGAATGAATTTCTACAAGGTATTCGGCTCTGACTAAAATACTCCTATAGTATTTTAAGTTATATGGATACCGGGTAAGTTTTAGGCTTGTTGCAACACCAAAGTCACTCCCAAGCACATGTTGGTCATGTCTCGAATGAATATAGTTGATCATGCTATATTGACCCTAGACATGATTACATAACTGCCCAGGTTTAACCGCAGTGTTCAACATCCAAAATACTTTTGTTTTATTCTACTTAAGACATGGATTCTGGTACTCGGGTATACTTGTATACTTTTTGTAAAAATACTTATATTTTAGAAGTATACTTTTAGTTCAGAGCACTATAGCCCCTTAGTGTTTATAGTTGTATACCATGTAAAGTTCGGTATACTTAGTTCACTATAAACAATAGCTTTGATACCAATCTGTCACACCCCGAAACCGAAGGCGGAAACGTTCCGGGGCGGAGGACGTCATGCGTAGTACCACAACAGTTGTATTATAGTAAGCATAGTAAACACAACCATTACATTATAATAAGAATATTTACATTGTTTAAAAACATGGTTTATACATATCAGTATATATAGCAAAGGTAAAAGATGTGACTTCAGGATGTTCCATCTTCTCCAAAAGTTGGCAAAAGGACCTGCCTATTGATGCCCTGAGAATACAAGCAGTTTTAAAATATCAGCATAAAGCTGGTGAGTTCATAAGCAGTTAATTCTGGTGAAAGAAAGGTTTCCTTGATTCTTTGAAAAGTTATTTCCCCAAGAAAATCCCATATTTTCTTATGAAAGAGGTTTGATTATCCATTAGTTACACATTAAACAGACTGTTTATGAAAAATTAAGTTATCCCAAAAAATACCATGTTTTCTTAAAGATTGATAGTTGATTATCCATACGCAACTATCTACCATACTCGGACAGCGGTTTTCTTTTCGAAGCTCTGGTTACACCCAGAGGAGTATATTAGCCGTATTTTCGAAGCTCTGGTTACACCCAGATGAGTATATTAGCCGTATTTTCGAAGCTCTGGTTACACCCAGAGGAGTACATTAGCCGTATTTTCGAAGCTCTGGTTACACCCAGAGGAGTACATTAGCCGTATTTTCGAAGCTCTGGTTACACCCAGAGGAGTATATTGGAAAAGTAAATTCTCGTTACCTAAGTTGTGAGTGCCATAACCGTACTGAGACTGGATAAGGCGCGTAAATGGGCCAGTATCTTTTATGACTTTGTCACCCCTGAACCAAATGGTTCCGCTGTAGCTAGCAGCGAGGGTGTGGGATAGTCAGTCCCATATAGATTTATACACAATAGTCACGCTCTCCCTCCAAGAGATTCTGGTTATAAGTCGTAGTCCTCCACTCATGAATCCGGGGGAGTGTTACCGAGGACATGTCTTAAACTTTGCCTAACGAACTTACAAATAACAATGTTGAAAATCTTGTTTATAATTTACGTGAATCCTTTATGAAATAATACATATTATGATAAGGTTCACAAGTTCCTTGCTTTAGATTTGAAAACTGTTTCTACGAGTTGATTTCTAAATCGAGTGGTAAAACGGTTTTCTGTGTTTGAAAGCATACTGAACATGAAATTATTTTAAACAAAATAATATATTTGAGCACAAGTTTCCTTGTACTTTTGCTTGTATTCCCCCCTGAAAACATGAAAAACTCGGAAAAGTATAGGGGTATGAACTCACTGTTTATCGTAGGATCCGAAAGCACAATTGGTTACGAGTGTTGAGTGTCAACTGATGTTTCGTACGCAAGTGGATCCTATTACCATGTGATAACACATATGTGTGTTAGAATTTGGGTGTTTCATGACTAAACATGACGGGAAACCACCCTAAAGACTTGGAAATGCTTGTCGGGACCCTATATGATCAAATAAGGGAGGTGCACGGCCAAAAGAGCGTGTGTGCGGCCAGGGTGTGCGGCCAGGCTGCGTGTGCGGTTGCACACAGGAGTGTGCGGTCGTACAGAGGATGTGTGCAGCCGTACATAGGAGTGTGCGGCCGTACACTCCTCATTCGTGTCCGAAATGTCGATTTTGAGGTGTTTTTGAGGTGTTCTTGTGCTAATACCATGTCCAACTAGTGAATGAAGGCCAAACTCTTCACTTTGGAGAGCTTTAAGGTGTGTGCGGCCACCTTATGAAGGTGTGCGGCCGTACACCTTCAAAGGGTGAAGAACACGAAGAACACAATGAGTTTTAGGCTTAGATTCAGGTGTCTTACCAAGATAACAAGCTGAAAGATGAAGTGGTTCGCGTTTTTGAGGCCTTTAGAGTGTTCTTGGGTGAAGTTCTTAGAGAGAGAAAGTAGTAGAGTGTAGCCAAAGGAAAGGAATGAGTGAAGGGGTTCCCCTATATATATAAGGGTGAGTGCGGCTGTAGGGTGGGTGTGCGGCCGCACACCCGTGTGTGCAGCCGTACACACCTCTCATGAGGGTGTATGGCCCGATTTTGCTTCTAAACGACATGTTGACTCATTCCTAATCTCATTACCAACTGTACTCAAGCTTAGAACACTTAAACTAGCTCTTAAACGGCGTTAAAAGATGATAAAATCGAGTTTAATATTGCTATAAAGATCGATTGTACAGGATAAAAGTTTCGGGTTGTCACAGAACTCAATAAAATTCAAATTTTATTAACGGAAATCGGCTAACGTTAACTGAAAGAGGTTCGGGTTGTCACAAAATCGAGGTTAAGAATAGACAAAAAATTTCCCCTACCGGTTGTCCAATTCTTATTGTAAAAACAGTATTAAAGGATGGTTACCATAGTTTCGATAACCCATAAGCTAACTTCTCTTTTCAAGTGTTATTGATGATACACATAAAGATTAGTATAGTTAGATTAATCTCTTTTGACACAAGTAACAAGTTTTCACAATAATGTAGAACTGACATTAAACTGGTTATGTTAGGAAGAACAAGATGAAGCTACATTGCATAGATTGATCTCTGACATTCACCCTTGTATGTGTGCATGTGTATTTTTTTTTAATAATTTTTTGTATATATGAGAGAGAGATGGATAAATAGATAGATATAAAGAGAGATAGGGATGGAGAGGTGGGGGTTAGGGGTGGTCATCCCTTAATTTTGTTTTATATTATTAAGGGTTTTTGTCATAAAAGCCCCCAAATTTACATAAAAAAACCGGTTATGCCCAAAAGCGATTTTTTTGCCATAGATGCCTAACATTTGCCCCTCATGTTTCATTTTAATGTTTTTTACCGTTTGCCCTTACCCAACCGGTTACATCCCCATTTGCAACCGGTAACATTGTTAAGCTCCTCTCCTCCGTTAACACTCTGTCAACATTGAGACAGTACCACCCTCCCATGCTAGTACTTCTTCAGACGTAGGTAACAGAATGTCAAACTCCATCTGTTGAAGCATTCTCATTGTCTGAAGCTAGGGTTTTTCAAGAGGTAAGAAATTACGGTCTGGTCATGGTTTTTACGAGAAATCATCTCCATTAACTGCTTACTTTTCATGATAATGGTTGTGATTGTGCAGGGGTTAGAAATGGGTACTCAGTCAAGTGAAGTAATTGTCCCAGATTTTAGAAGGAAGAAATTGGTTGTAAGAAGGCCAAATAGGAAGTCAACAACCAAATTTCAAGATGAAGTCAACAACCAGGTTCCAAATGAGGTTGCTCAAGCTCCTGCTGTTAATGATGTTCCTTTAGTGAATAAGGTGATAGAAGAGGAAGATGACATTATGGTGCTAGAAGAAGAAGCAGTTGATGTTCCAGTAAAGGTTGCCCAAGATCTAAAAGAAAGTCTTGATATGAAGTTGGAGATGCAATTGATCAAATTCTTGGTTCTGGAAATGCATCAGATGCATCTGATGTTCCATTGTTGAATGAAGGTGGTGCAGAACCTGAATTCACTGAAGGACTTGCATCAGATGTTCTCCCAGATAAAATCAAGATAGATGTTGAAGGAATAGCAAATTTACTTGAAGCAGGATATTCCATGGCTGAAACTGAAAGCATAGGGTGGTAGGAAATTGAACTTGATGACACTCCAGCAGTTGAGATGGTAATTTATTAACCTTGTAATTTTAATTTTAAATATATGTTTTGTCCCCTTTATATGATATGGTAATTTATTAACCTTGTTATTTCTTGCATCAGGACTTAAATGAGGATGAGCCTGATGTTGATGAAGGTGAAGCTAACTTTGTAAATGATGTTCTAAATGATGGTGGTGTGATTGAAGGTGAAGGTGAAGCTGAATTTGTAAATGATGTTCTAAATGATGGTGATGTGATTGAAGGTGAAGGTGAAGCTGACTTTGTAAATGATGGTGATGTGATTGAAGTTGAAGGTGTTGGAAATCAAGATGATGGTGATGTGATTGAAGGTGAAGGTGTTAATCATAGGAATGAGGCTGCTGGTGATGTTCTAAATAATGAGGTTGCTGATGATGGGAATGTGGCTGATGATGAAGGTCATCTGATAGTGCCTAAGATAAGGAAAAGAAAGCCATCAGAGAGGATCACTAAACTAAAGCTTAAAAAGGCAGTTTTTGATAAAGATGGGGGTGGTTCCACATGTTCAAATCCAGTGAATCTGGAGTAGTTAGTTATGTATATGGGGGATTTAGGTGGGGATGGTATACTTGGGCATTTGCATAGGAAGCCCTTTTTGGTACATTTTGTACATCTTAGTTTATACACCCACTAAGTGCACCTTTCATCCAGTTGTTCTCATGTACCTTTTGGGTTGCCTTTTTGGGATATATTTTTGGCAATTTGGTACAAATGGATGGATGGTACATGTTAGTTGATCTTTTGTAATCTTTTGTAATGGTGCATGAATATGATGTAATGAATCCCCTCATTATGGTTATAATATGTTTGTTATGTTTGTTATTTTATATTATGTTTTTTGATCCATACCATTGACATCTATATTATGTATCATTTGTAACTACAGTTAGCCAATTTCAGCATTGTACTTTACCATTTAGCAATTTAATATATATTATGAACCATATGTTTGTTATGTTTACCATTTGCATTTCACAGATAATTTGTATTTTACCATCTCACAACATTGTACCATTTCATAGCATTGTACCATTTCATTGTACTTTACCATTTCACAACATTGTACCATTTCATAGCATTGTACCATTTCATTGTAGTTTACCATTTGCATTTCACAAATAATTTGTATCTAAAATCTTCATCCAAAACAACAGTTACTAGCCAATTTCAGCATTGTACTTCCATTTGCAACTAAAATCAATCCAAACATTCTACCAAAAGCCAAGTCGATCCAAACATTCTACCAAAAGCCAATCCAAAATGATTTACATCTTCAAAACAACTATTGTCACCATTACAAAAATAAGAACTAAGAGACCTACAATTATTTCTACCAAAGTCTTCAACTGTCCATGCCCCTGCCCCTGCCCCTGCTTTGTGTGAGTTGGGTCGATAATGTGGCCATCTTCTTTATTGTACCATTTGAAAAAACCACAGTCCTCTTCTTCCACCTAGAAAAAACAATAATTTGTATGAATTACATACCTTTTTTCAAGGTTTCTCAAGAAATTTACAAATTAGGGAAAATTGTTTACCTTGTAATTAGGGCACCCATAAAACTTCTTTCCATAGGTCTCAGGTGTTCGAGCAACAGATACCTTGCACACATCTCCACAGCCACATCTAACTATTCTTTTCTTTCTCGATGTTGGACCACCTTCGAAGCTTGATTTGGCAGACGAAGTCGACATTTTACAGATACTTAGGGTAGAAGACGGGGGAGAGAATAGAAGACAGGGGAGGGAAAGACTTTGGATCGATGTTAACGGAAGACGATGATGTTTGGGGGTTAAAAGGGTGGATGTAACCGGTTGGTAAAGGGGAACCGGTAAAAAACATTAAAATGAAACATGAGGGGCAAATGTTAGGCATCTGTGGCAAAAAAAAATCGCTTTTGGGCATAACCGATTTTTTTATGTAAATTTGGGGGCTTTTATAACAAAAACCCTATTATTAAACTAGTTGTGAGAATTTTGAATTATAAAAAAATATGAATGTCTAAATATTTGAGAATTTTGAATTATAAAAAAAATAAAAAAGTAATGAATATTAAAATTGAAATGTTTTTTATCTTTTAAATTTAAACAAATAATTTAAATAAATAAACAAAAGAAACTAATAAACTTTAATTTGAGAATTTTGAAATTAGAAGTTAAGTCCATTAATGAAATTGATATTCATTTATTACTACATTTATTGTAATTAGTATATGTGGAATTTAATAAAATAGAAAAACCCAAAAATGACACTTGGAAAAAAAATTAATTCAAAATAACCACAAAATATCATTTGTCAAAATAAATGAGAGTATAACATGTGATAAAAACATCTTCATTTATTAAAGTAGAAATTTATTAAAGGGGTAAATGAAAAAGGAGGGAATTATAAAGGGTACGACTATCTTTTTACATGACTAATGAACCGTTAGTGTAATTTCAAGAACCACGTGGATTCAGTCTCGGTTTGTCAAGTTTTTAAAGTTGCATCGAAACTGTGAATTGGACTAAAACATATGGACCATTTCTGTAATTTACTCTTAAAAATACTAACAACTTAGTTGTTAGGTTAATAGCCCAAGGGCATGTGGTGCAAGATTTGGAAATAATAAGGATTAGACATATCAAAATTTGAAAAGTTGGACTAAAAGTGTAGATTGGAGCAAACCACAAGGAACAAATCTGAAATTAACATTTTTTTTTAATTATAGATCATCACACTAGTAAGAAACTAAGGGGGCGAGAACCAATCACACATTACAATGTACTTTGGGTTTTTAATCTAAAAAAGCTATGTAATTGCTATTTGTTTATTTCTATTTGTAAACCGATAATACGAATAATCAACTATTACTACACAAAACAGTTGAGTTTTGAAACCGCCACTACACCCACAAGGTAGTTATGACAATAGTTTCGATGACAGATTATTTCGAAGAAGACACATGGACCGAATCAAACCATGGCCAAATATCCATCACAAAACTTCAATTAGGCTGGAGGGAGTGGTGCCGCCCTCCCTCATGAAACCGCAGTGACACGTAGACGCCACCTCACCCATTACCACAAAAATGTGGTCTTATACCACACCCAAGGAGTGGTGCCACACTTTGGTTTTTTTTTTTTTTTTAATTAAATAAAAACTATATTTTTAATAAAAACCATTCATTTCATTACTTCAAAAAAAATAACATTACATTCCATTGCCCAAATAAAAATCCTACAAACTTAAAAAAAAAAAAAAAAAAAAAAAAAAAAAACTAGAAATTTCAAACCTACAAACTAAAAAAACATACATTAAACGATTTAAAATAAACGCACTACATGAAGTCGTCCTTCGAGAACTCGTCTTCCGGGTCCTCATCTGGATCCAAATTGAGGTTAATGTGTTGCATCCCGTAAATGTGTTCCACCAAATCCATACGAAGATTGTGAAATGTTTCATTGCAACGAATCTCTGCTCTCTTTTCAATGTACTCGGCGCCCCCAATTTCTATTCCTTGTGTCGCGGGAATGGTTTCCTCTTCATCATACTCACATATCGCTCTTCCTTCATTTTCGATAATCATATTATGCAGTATTATACATGCATACATGACTTCATGCATTTTTTCCTCGCTGAAAAAAAATTGCTGGTTTTTTCAATATAAACCAACGTTTCTTGAAAGCTCCAAAAGCCCGCTCGACATCCTTCCTAGCTCTTTTTTGAGCTTTCTTGGATTTTTTCCGACGAGCATCATTCAGACACGTAAACGATTTAACAAAAACTGCATACTCAGGATAGATCTCATCAACTAGATAATAACCATATTTATATGGTGTTCCACGCAATTGGAAAGAAGAATCCGGTGCAGATCCGTCGTATATGTTGTTAAATATAGGTGACCGATTAAGAACGTTAATGTCGTTGAGGGATCCAGGAGAACCAAAAAAAGCATGCCAAATCCACTGATCATGTGATGCCACCGCTTCAAGTATGACCGTTGGATGCCCATGATCACCTCGGGTAAATTGACCATGGTGTGAGGCAAATCAATTTTCTCATGCCCAATGTAGACAATCTAAACTTCCTAACATTCCAGGAAAGTCATGTACGCTAGCATGATGAGATTGCAATTTCATGATGTCATTGCGTGTAGGCTTACGTAAATATTTTGGACCATAAAACTGAATAATAGTTTTGCAAAAATAGTGTAGACTATCTCGTGCGGTCCTAGCTGACATCCTAAAACTCTCGTCCAACGCATCAGGAGGGATGCCATATGCTAACTGACGAAGTGCAGTTGTACATTTTTGTAAATGGGTGAAACCGGGTGTACCTCTAGCATCGGGCCGTTGCTCGAAAAAATCACACTCCCTCGTTACATCTTCGACTATACGTTCGTACAATGGTTTGAACATTCTGAAGCGCCTTCTAAAGTAGTATCCTTGAAAAGTGGCATTTTCTTGAAAGTAGTCGTGTATCAGACGTTGGTTTGCATCTTCACGATTTCTAAAAATATATCTTCGTGTTCTCTATTCAGCACTAGTACTGGCAGATGTCCTACTGTATGCCGCTTCATACGTTTGTTCCGCAAATGTAGCAGCAGCGACAAAAACATCGAATATAACATCAAACTCTTCAGAAGAATCGGACGAAGACATTTTTTTGATTTTTTTGAAAGGTAATGTAGTAGATAAGTATAAAAATGTGAAAGGTTGAATGGTTTAAATAGATGTTAAAGTTTAAAAGAGAAAAAAAAAATTAAAAACTCAGTTTTTTGACCGTTTGCAACGGTCAAATGAGCATAGCCAATCAAATCCGTCCATGTATCGCACCCTCCGAAAGCCGCAGTGCACCCTAGGCCGCACCTGGACCGCACCCAAATGGGCGGTGTTCGTGGCTTATGTGGCATAGGGAGTGCGGTCCAGGCCGCACCACTCCCTCTGGTCTTAGGACGGAAAACATCTATCCATCTAAAAGTAGGATCGCAAGTTCTCATTGCCACTTTATATTCGGTAAAAAGATGATCCGGATTTTCCTCCTCATTGGAGCGAGCAAACCGGACATAAAACCATCACAAGGTTAAACGTATAAATAAAATTCGAACTAAGATCAACCGAATTTAAAATGTTTCATACCTAACGATGATTTAGCAAATAACACATAACTCTAATTTAAACTCTTACCCATCTTAAAACATCATGTGAATCACTATATATTAACCAGGGCTTATACTTTTGTTTTTAGAAAATCGTGTTCTTTTATTATATTATTTTTCTGTTTATAATTATTGATTTTTTCATTTGGTGTTCAGTGGGTGACAATGACAAATTTTATTAATTAAGTTAGTGGCATGGCAGTAGCAAAAAAGAAAGGATTTCATTAATAAAATGAGTTACAACTTTCAACAGGATTTCATTAATAAAATGAGTTACAACTTTCAACAGGCTTTCAAGCATATTTTGGTTGTCAAAACATTGATTAATTGTAACTCGAAAGCTAATAGCAACATAATCCTTTCAGGCTTTCACCAACAAAGTAAACTAAAAC